GCTTTTTACCATCTTTACTAACGACCTGCCACTTACCGTGACGGAGACTATCCCCGCCATGTATGCAGACGATACATCTGCATATGCGTGTGCGCCATCAATTGAGACAGTAACGGTCAAACTACGGACGGATATGAATAACATATGTGAATGGGTGCGTTCAAACAAACTTTTCTTGAATCCAAAAAGACGAAGTGTATGTTGCTTGGTAGTAGGCCCAAAATGTCAAAGAAACTTCAACTCACCTTATCTGCTGATGGGAGCCCAATACAACAAGTAACGACTATGAAGCTACTTGGTAGCACATTAGATGAATGTCTGACATGGGACTTCCATATAGAAAATACTATTAAGAAAATGGCTCGATCCTTGGGGGTTATTAGAAGAAGTGCAGCATATCTGGACCCGGCGTTGCTGAAACTGTTGGCTGAGACACTTACCCTGACACACTTGGACTACTGTACAGCGGTTTGGTCCCCTACCTCACAAAAGAACATCACCGCACTCCAAGTAATGCAGAACAAGGCAGGGAGACTTGCACTGAGAACTCACCGGACATCGGTGAAGCACATGCACAGTGTGCTATCATGGCTGACAGTTGGTGACAGACTCTATGTTAACAACATGTGTACCTTCCACAAGTTGCTTTTCTATAAGCAACCAACAACACTTTACAGTAAACTGCAGCTTGTATCTAACCAGCACGGTTACAGTACGAGATCTGCAGCTAGGAATAATTTTAAGCTGCCAAAGCCAAAAACATCGGCAGCTACTAAATCTTTCCTCTACAGATGCTCAAAACTGTATAACACACTTCCATGTCATATCAGAAAATCAATACCTACCAGTTTTAAAACTCTTATCAAAGACAGACTGAAACAAGCTATACAGAATTGACAGTAAACTAAGATTGAATATTAATATTAATTGTATATATACTGTGTATGATGATGTAAATATGATGATGTATATATGTATGTGTTTTGATGTTTTGTAACGTTTATGTGTATACTCTCTCCTGGAAGAGTAGCTGTCACCCTCGGGTGGACAGCTAAAGGAGAGTTTTAAACCAATAAACCAATAAATTTTGTTTCACTGTAACTAATATAATAAGAATATTGGACATCTCTCAGTCATTACATACAAAAAACAGCACACAATCCTGCAACTTGCAAGTCATTATTGATAATTACTCTGTGGCTCTTTAGCTAATCACCTGGTAAAAAGTTAACCTACTAGTTACAATGTAACTGAAGGTAACGTAACATTTCTAGAACCTTTGTGCCATTGTGTAAAATTAATGCACCTGATCGCTAATAACACATGTAGGTTTATCATGTAGTAGATGTAAATAAGGCAAATATTTTCCTACCAGGACTGTTTGTATATGAAGTTGTTGATGTAAACTTTGTTGTTCCTTGAGTCTGTCTGCTAGTATCAATGTCAGTTTGCTGTTCAGTACTGTCTTTCGACACTAAAGTTGCAGTAGTCACTGCCACAGTGGTAGTAATAGGCACCCTAGGCCTAGTGGTGGTAATATCTGCTATATGTGGAAATAAGTCAGCAATAGTCTTCATTTAATGTCATATTAGACAAGTGTCAATTTATTGCATTCCAAGGAAACAGACTGATATTTAATTAATGTTTTATCGATCTTTATGTAAGATGTTATGTAATTGGCATTATTATGAAAAAGAGGGGCATGTTTGACAGGTCTTTGAAGGCGAGGTTACTAGAGCACTCACGGCGGAGTTCAGTCTGTTCAGAACTGTCACAACACCTTTATATTGAGTCACTTAGACATTATGTTTCACTGTACGTACGCTATAAGAATATTGGACACCGAAGAAGTAACTACCAACACAAATGAACTTTTATATATTATATATCATGCATGTTTAACATTTCTTATTTTACAATGAGTCTATAAATTCAGTTCAAAATTTAACAATATTTATTCAATTTTTTGTTCACCATTCAATTTCCCTAAGAAAACATTCTGTCAGAAACAACTTTACTGTTGATCAAATGACAAATTAATATAATACTGTTATACATGTTATAAGTGTACATGTTTATAACGATTTATTCCACTGAAGGACATAAACCTACCATTTGGTGTAGAACCAGAACTAATGGTTGTGCTGTCCTGAGGACATGCAGCAATTCCAGTTGAAAGATCATCTGTAACAGAGTATAATGCATGTATATCAGAAACATGTTTAACAGTAACTGATGTATAAAGATATCAAAATTTGGCATCCCTAAACAAAAATTGTACCAACATAAATTCCAACATCTGAATCTGGTATTCAAAGTTTTTGCACATGGCACAGGCAAAACACATTCATGTGTCATATTGCAGCCCAGGTATGACATAATGCTACTAGTTAACACATGGGCTGGAACACCCATATCAAATGTTATTGTGACCTGGGTTGAAGTGATGGTGAGAGAGAAGCTCAGTTGTTTGATGTCCATCATAAGCGATGATGTCAATGGTGTCATAGGTGGGATTGTAGCCCAAATGCTGATATGATACCAACTTATTTAACTGTAACAGTGCATTGTGGTGATAGTAAAAGTCACTGTAGGATTTCTACCACAAGCAAGTACAATGAAGGAAGAGAATGCTGAATAATGATTTCAAAGAAACTCACATGACAAAGTTCCTGCTAGTTTGAAGGAAAGGCAGCCTCTGAGTTCATCCCCACAGTCAATGATAAGTCCAATGATAAGTCCAGAAAAACAACTCCTCAGCTCTTCTGTAGGACCATTCATCTATAATGAAAACAGGATGTCAAATGAGTAAATATCACAATAATCAAAATGCAATAAAAGAATACTGTCTAATATCTAATAACTGGATGCCAAAAATACATATAACAATGTGTTGCAGTTGACAAATGTTTTAATCACCATACCTTGTATATTTATCTTTACGTGTAATATTTAATATCTTTCACAAATTTTCTTTGATATTTAAACAGTCCACAATGACAAAGTAATTTCATCTTACATTGTAACATTAGAAGCTATAGAAATTGTCAAATATAGTGTCAATAGAAATAAATGTTTACAAACATGAAAGGTGTTTAATGAACACCTTGGTGATGTATGCCCTAATTTGCATAATGTATGATGGTATAACCTAACTGACATGTGTCATAAATATAAAACTCCTATCATTAATTTACAACTTAGGCCTTTTAGCAGTAACTTAGATATGCAAATAAGATCCTCATCTACATAATCACATTTGTTGATAATCTTCTCCATCCAAGTCCAATTCTGATATACTATACCATATTCTCAATAATTATGCCAAATGGCATCCCATTCTGTATACTCTATGTCAAACCATGTTCACCTTTACAAATGTACTTTCCAAATGCTGTAATTGTGATTTTCTCATCAATCATCAAAATGAGGTTCTCCTCTCATAATGCTCCTCTTATTCTAAATTACAACATGCTTTGGTAGTCCTGCTAAAAATAATGATTGTTACATGTATATGTTCAGAACATGAGACCTGGAAGTTATGCTGCAGTATCATTAAAATCCACTAGGGGGCCAAAATCACACTAGCCCTGACTTTGTTTTGCTGACATCTACCCAAATACCAAATACAATGTATTATGATATTATCCACAGTTTCTTGAGTTGTCAAGGTACATGTAATGTTACACATACCTAGCAAAATCAGTTCTATGGAGAATGCATGTACAGAATATTTAGCCTTCAGCTATATTTTGAACTCAATTGCTGTACTGTACTAAAAAAAAAGGAAACTGCACATAAAACAAAACATGCTTACCTTTATGAAGTTTTCACCTCCCATTTTTTTAATGGAGAAGAAAGGAATACTACTATTTTGTAGAGTTGAAAGGGCCCTCCAATTTTGATCAGCATCGTTGCTTTGACTGTACTGATAGAAAAATTCACTAGTGCTTGTAATCTGACAATTACGATGAATAGGTTGCCAGTCAGTGTTTTTTTTAAATAGCAGTGGTCTTTTGGGAGTTAAAAATCCACCCTGAGTTTCTGGTAGGTTCATCATCGGCATCGGTTGTGATCCTGAATCCAGAAATGCCTTCCAGTCACAGTTTGGAAAAGCAGATATAGAGAAGTCTGCAAAAAATGTATTACAATATCTTGTGGGCACAAAATACACATGTATATGCAACCCTCCAAAAATTGATTGCCATAATATCATTAGAAAATGCAAGCATGTAATGTAATTAGCATGTAATTAGCATGTATAATGTTACTTATTACCGCTCAAAGTAAGATACAAAGAACATTGCAGACCTAGTGCCAACGGCTACTCCTCAGCTATTTTCCACCACCTACAAGACAACCAGGGTCACTCTTTCAAATTCGAGTCCACGGATATCTTAGACCGTGAAACACGCTGGTGGGAACGGGGTGTTAAAGAGGCAATATATGAAAGAATGTACAAACCCACCCTCAACAGGGAAGGGGGGCTACGGGTCGATCTTTCCGGCACTTGGGATTTATAATGCACTCCCAGCCCCGAGGACAGACAACACTTAAGCTCCTGTTCTGTATAACAGGAGCTTTCAGACTAATTTGCATCAATTTGTCTTGACTTGTCTGACTTTTGTTCCTTTTTCGACTTCCAAAAACTTGTCTTCACTTTATTTGCATATCAATCAATAGGTTGTGTTTATAAACCTGCTTCCCCCTCTGGTCTCTCAGTCACTGACGAAAGCTAGTGGATACTAGCTGAAACGTCTAACGTTTTCAAAATCATATCCAGTTGCTTGAGTAACTGTTTTTTGGCGTTACTTATTACAGTTGTAGAGCATTTATTTGACCGATGGAAGTTTTTGACCAAAGTTAATTCATGAAATGTAGTTTTTGTTGTTTTTTGACAAACGGACAAATGTGTATAGAAAAGATTACCCATTAACATGTAATCACCTGTCTTTGGAATGTGACATATAATGTTAGTGTTCAAAATCACGTTTTTAGCATTTGAATCAATATTGACAATGGAATTGTCACTACCCATTATAGATTTACTTATGTTATGCTTACCTTTAATGCACCTGTTAAAGAGGAATGTTGTTTTATCACTTGCACACTGACATCTGCATGGATATGGACTGACGTTTCCGTTTGTCTGGTGAGCGCCGGTGTATGTCCAACATCTGCATCCAGATGCACAAGGATGCGTGAAAATATCACCCAGAGAACTGCCACCACTTGCACGCTCCACACTTAAAGTAGTATTGTCACATTCCTGCAGTCGAACAACCCGAACAAATCCCAGCAAAATAAAACTGGTCAGTCTGAACAGAAACATAATAAAATTCCTTGGAGGACACACGTCCATGGTGAAGTTGAACGGCAGTACTAGCGCTCGACAAGATTTAGATAACTTCACTTCCTGGTGTTGTTTCCTGGCCGATCCTACGGTTATAACTCGGTTTCTATCGAATCAAGGTCGAAATCATCGACGTCGACGGCGCTACAGTTGTTTTCACGTACAAGCAAATCCCGTTGACCCTTTGTTGTTGTACGTCCAACGATATTTTCGTGAGTCCACGATCACTTCCTGTACTCCTAATGTCCTAAACGCTGTGGCTACACGGAAGATTGTAGGGACTGATTCGCCGAGGCTAGTCGAGGAAGTGATTAGAACTCTTGTCAACATGCGTGCGGGCCTAGTAGGCGGGGCCTAAATGCCCATGTGATCAGACTGGTACTCAGGGCACAGTGGAACACTTGTTGCGTTACAAACTGTGCCAATCTCCAAGTAGATTCTACGGCGACAAGGCAGTGTCAACTGGCCAAGGAGTCTTGTCATTAGCCAATGGACACTGCTTTGGCCGATACTGGATATAAAATGTGGGCGCGTCTGTTTACGGCTTTACCTTTTCATTGCCTGCTGTTTGAGTTTCAGATAGAAGTTTGCGACTCATTGTAACTTTTGCGTGACTGACTGCAGGGACTGGCGGGTAAAAGTATTTTCCAGTGGGATCCTAATCGAATGCTAGAAATACCCTTTTCTCCATCCACTTTAGATTTTTGCCCCAAAGTAAACTGCAGTATTTGATGTCCCTTTCTTCCTTTTTTTTCACAATTATACTGACAATAAAATATGGCAGGCCACACAAAATGATCGTTTTTATATTAAAGAGTGTCCATAACTTTTGAGATGTCTTCCACATGACGCAAAGCAGTCTGAATCTAGAGGTCCGGACATGTAAGAATTTCAGTTGCGACATTGTGCGAGAAAGGTCAAAACTGCATCTAGTTCCCCGAATCCAGCTCCTGAACCGTATCCCTTGATCCTCAAAACTCTAAAATTATACGAAAGTGAATTCTGCCAGTTTTCTAGTTTTATTACCGGTATACCCTTCCCTCCACTTATAGAGGAAAGTCAAATATATCTTTCTTTATTCTACAACTGAGCGTGCAACGCTACATTTACAACCATGTCGAACAAGATCTTGCGTCTTTATGTGATAAAGCCTGGGTGCACGTGCCAGACTCATACCACACTGGACACAAAGTACATGTATCTCAGTGAGCACGATTTGACCACAAAATCTTTAGCTCTGCACCACAGTGAGTCTGCACCATGGTATTGAAATTGGGCACATTAGAAATATTGCCCGGGGGATTAAATTGACACTTGTCCATGCCACATTTGTTATAGCCTCCTTCGCAGTCTTGTTTGGCGTCGGCGTTATTTTTTTCTGTGAGCGACACGAGTAATATTCGGCCGAGAGGGACGATATGCTGCCGAGGGAGTTTTTGCCGCGGAGAGAAGGATTCGCGACGCCCAACAATACTGCGAAGGAGGCTAAACATGTTATATGTTACTATTTTTATTTTTTTCTACGGACTACAATAGTCTGATTTATACATAAGTCATACGGGCTCAGTGCCTGTCATGTAGACAGTGTTTTGTGAACAGTTTACAGCAACTTATTCAGTCGGACCCAGACCAAGAAAACTACATGTTGACTTAGTATTGGGCTTTTGTGTGCTTCGTAAAATTATCGGCAGGTGGCGTGACAGATAACAGGT